ACCAGGCAAGCACTTGGTGCACATATATACACACAGGGAACAAAACAAAACAAAAAGCCCTTTATAGAATGGCTGGGCAATACCACTGCCTAGCACTAAATGAGCTAATCACTCTGCATGAAAGAGTTAGACCACAGCATTAGTTCTGTGAAGTGGGCACCCCATCCATAATTTACATTTTAAGACAGGCTGAAAAAGTTTCCCAAAGTCATACTGCTAGAAGTGGCAGACAAAGAACATGAGCCCTAAATCTCAAGCTTGACTCTAAACATTCACCAAGTAACCTAAAGCACTCCTAGTCCTTCTGCTTTCAGAAAGCTGGCTTCCATACCAGCTGCACACATGGCCCGCGTCTACTGTAGTCTCAATGGAAGAACGGAGACATGCTTGGATTTTCCTTGGAAAAGGCAGTGGAGGTTGGTGCCTAGAACAGAAACAGCTCTTTGTGAAAGCAATGGACAGTCCTGAAAATGAAGATCTTTGAAGATGTATCAAAAGTGACTGTTCCTGTATGCAGTTTGGGACTTTCCTAATTGACTGGTGCAGATAAACTGTTTCAAAACAACCCTGCATCACAAGTGTCTCCCACTCTTCAGCTATTCCACTGCATGAGGTAAAAACAGGCTTCCTCTCAGATTCCCCAGGACAGTGGAGCAGACAGTCCAGACTAGAATACTTCAAAGTGAAGTTGGGTGATAACCCTAATTACTCCAGGAAATTAGACTTAAAGTGGAATGCCCTTCCCATGGCAGACTTCAAAAACAAAGGGGAAGTCAAATGCCATAGGCTCACTTAACGTTAAAGCACTGTTGTTGTAGAGTATTATTCTTTTCTTTTAGGCTGCCACCCAGCTCCCATATCATGACATGGAGATTTGTTATTAGCTTTGAATGCTCAGCCTAGCTTAGGTTCTTTTCTGGCTAGCTCTTTTAGCTTAAATTAACCTCTATATCTACCTTTAGCCTTGGAGCTTATTAACTTTCTTCCTTCTTTGTATCTACTTTCACTGCTTCTGTATGTCTGGCTGGCTGGCATCTGCCTGACTTCTTGCCACAGGTGTGTCCCTCAGTTCTCTCCTCCTCCTCCTTCTCCTTCTGTTCCTGCTTCTCTTTTCTCTCTAGTCTAGATTTCTCCTATTTATTCTGTCTACCTGCCCCGCCTATCCTTTCTTTGCCTAGCTACTGGCTGTTCATCTTTTTATTAAACCAATCAGGTGCCTTCGGCAGGCAAGGTGAAACAAATGCAACACATCGTTACATAATTAAACAGACAGCATAAACAAAAGTAACACACTTTACACAGTTAAAGTAATGCTCCACAGCATAAACAAAAGTAACACACCTTTACACAGTTAAAGTAATGCTCCACAGCATAAACAAAAGTAACACACCTTTACACAGTTAAAGTAATGTTCCACAGCATAAACAAAAGTAACACACTTTACACAGTTAAAGTAATGCTCCACAGCATAAACAAAAGTAACACACCTTTACACAGTTAAAGTAATATTCTGCAGCATAAACAAAAGTAACACACCTTTACACAGTTAAAGTATTGCTCCACAGCATAAACAAAAGTAACACACCTTTACACAGTTAAAGTAATGTTCCACAGCATAAACAAAAGTAACACACCTTTACACAGTTAAAGTAATATTCTGCAGCATAAATGTTTTTGCCCAGTTAAAATAATAGTCCACAACACTAAATTTCATTCAAATGATTTTTACATGCCTACTGCATGTGGATTGATGATATTTTGTATTGAACTGAAGTGCTGTAGAAGCAGAATCAATCCTGTAATTCTAGATAAGGGTGGGTTAGGCAAGGTTCCACAGAGGAACAGAAAAATGATAGATATTAACCAGAAAAAAAAAACAGATTAGACTGGAGATAATATATTTCAGGCAGAAGTTAAGAGGATGTGTGCGGAAACTCATACTCCAGAGCACAAAAAGTCCCTCCTATGAGTGCGGAACAGTGCACTAGGGCACACATGGGAGTGGTGGCCAAAACCAGAGCTAAAGTACTGAGGAAGAGGCAGGCCAGAGTGAACTCTCTATCATGCTGAGAAAATAGAATGTTATAAGCAAAGGCTGGAAGAGGCCACTAAATAGTGAATCTAAGGAACCTCCATATTCACAGGTCATTTAGGAAGCACAGCAGAAGCAAGGTAGAAAACAAACAGAATGGTCCAAATAAGAAATGCTGCTGATCTGGTTGCCCAATAGGACTAGGCGGTTATTGCTGTCTTCTGTACCTTTCGTGATTGTTGCACATGTAAACTCAGAGCCACTTGGGTTACCTTAGAAAATCAAGCCGTCAAATATTCCAGAATGAACAGGGGAGGGACTCATAAGGCCCCACCCGTAGCTGAGGAGCTATTGGCAGCTGATAAGTGCTGGTGAAGAAAGTCAATTTCCTTAGGGGATATAGCTGTTAGTTTGTTACCCATGCTCCAGGAGATGGCCCTGCACCCTTGCACATACAGACAACACTAAGTGGACCCAGTTAGTTATAAAGAATTTTTAAATGACATAAAGGTGAGAGGAGGAGATGTGTTGAGGAGGAGATCCAGGGGAAGAGGGAGAGAAGAGGAGAGTACGGATATGAACAAGATACACTGTGTGTGTGTGTGTGTGTGTGTGTGTGTGTGTGTGTGTGTGTGTGTGATGGTGAAACAACAAACAAAAATATTTTTAAAGAGAAATTATGTGGGGTTGGAGAGATGGCTCAGCAGTTAAGAGCACTTGCTATTCTTACAGAGAACCCAAGTTCAGTTCCCAGCTCTCACATGGTGACTCACAACCATCTACAAATCTGGTTCTAGGAAACTCAACAGCCTCTTCTGACTTCTGCAGGCACCAGACATGCATGTGGTGCATATACATACATGCTGGCAAAACACACATACACATAAAATAAATAAATCCTTTTTAAGATTTTTTTAAAAATTAAGTTGAACCTAGCATCTATGAAACCCTCACATACTGAGCCAGGCATGAAGACTATAATCTCTTCTAGACTTAGAAGCAGTAAGTTGGATTCTATTAAAGGCCAGCCTAGGCTACAAAAAAAAAATTCTCATGTAAGTTTGTATCCCACTTAGTAGCAATGTGATTTTTGAGACAACTCTTTCACTGACTCTTTTCACTGAAAAGTGAAAATGACCACATCTCTACCTTATTTGTAGGACTGAGAGTAAATGAATCAAGATCCCTGGTGAAAATGTCAGTAAACACATTGTCAGTCTCCAATATTAGTCCCTGAAATCCCACCACTAAAATAGAAGTTATTTATTCAAAGAATTTATGTAAAATAGTAGAATAAGGCTTTTTTAATTTAAGGAGCAAATCTATAAATGGGTGATGGGAAGGAGACTGGAGAAGCTGCAGCTAGCAATTAGAAGCAAGAAAACGGATGTGTGGGGAAAGGACTTAGTGAGCCCATGAGAACAGAAGGCCAGACTGACCATGGCAAAAACGGATAAGCAAGCCAATGTCTACAACAAGGTCGCAGTGTGCACACCTGGAGTGCACACTCCAGAACACCAGTGACAAGTGCAGAAGAGAAGAAGCCTCTAAGAAAAAGAACTGTTTCCCAGTCTCCCTGACAAAAGTTTAAACCAGCACCAGCCCATATACTTCTCCATAATAACAAAAACGCTCTGTGCCTGATATGGTGGACACTGAGCACTGAAAATGTAACTACTGGCCCAAAGACCTGACTTATTAAATATTAAGAAATTCAAAATGAAATGAGGGTTGAGAGTGTAACTAAAGCATGTGTTTAACATGAACAATCCCTGGAGTTCAACCATTAACACCAAAACAAACAAAGTTTAATAACTGCTATGTGGTTAGTAGCTGTAGCTTGATCATAATGGGTCTAGAGGTTTATTTTATGAGAAAGATACAGAGACTAGAAATGCCAGGACAAGCCAAAGGAACCTTGAGCACATCAAATTTCTGTACATACACTCTGGGTACTACCAAGTTAAGCCCTCATTGCGGTCTCAAAAATGTGACAGTCATTACGCAATTCTAGAAACTGGAAGAATGTGACCATCTCACCAGAAGAGATTTCAGCATACTAACAGCTATCAATCCAGCCACTCCAGTGAAGTTCAAAGTTCAGAAGCCACAGCCACAAGCTCAACACCCAGCCCTAACAAACAGCTAAAGTAAACAGCTGTCTGAAGAAAGCCTCCAATGCAGAGAGAAAATGGACTCACTGTAAACAAAGGCTCCACACAGAGTATGTGAAACTCTTCACAAAGACAAAAGAAAAATTACCAAGAAGGAAAAAGCAGTCTCTTAAGTTACATTTCAGAAAAACAAAACCACTAAAAGAAAAAGAAAAAAAGGAAATGAAAAGGCAGACTAGAAAGGGGCCTTATGGAACTTTCTAAATTGATGCCATGTTCTGTTTTGTACACAACTGTCAAAATGGAGCACAATCACTTGGGTTTGTTCACTATAGTGGACACAGGTTATACCTTAATTTTACAAGCTTGCCCGGTGGTGGTGGCCCACCCCTTTAATCCCAGCACTTGGGAGACAGAGACAGGCAGATCTCTGTGAGTTCAAGACCAGCCTGGTCTACAAGAGCTAGTTCCAGGACAGGCTCTAAAGCCACAGAGAAACCCTGTCTTGAAAAGCTAAAAGAAAAAATTTTACAAGCTTATCTGAAAATTGTAAGTCAAAGTTTGGCCTTGAGCAGTTTGAAAAGAGAAAAGAAAATAACTGAAAGAGGACCAATCCAAACAGTGACAAATCTGGGTTTCTAAAGGGAAGACAAGAGAAGATAGAAGGTAGAAAATCATCAGCAAAACCAAGCAAGAAATATTTCCCAGAAAAGAAGGCCACAAATGGCCATAAAGGGAAAGGCTGACACAGAGAGGCAGATAGGCTTTCCTGAGAATCACAGAACACTGGGAATGAGTCTACACTAGAAAATAAAGCATGTCACATGCTGAAACTGAGACGTTAAAATACTTACAGATGCACTGAAGAGAAGACAAGGATACCATCATCCAGTGCTCTCAAAATTCTCACGGTAAAATTTCCAACCTAGAAGTTTATAATAAGCCAAATCACCAATATTGAATAAAAAAGGGGGAATCAAGGAATATTTCTTGAGTATCTCAAAGTAATTTACCAAGAAGCTGTAAGCAACCAGAGTCAATACAAGAAATGACCAAGCAAGAGGGAATACGGAAATTGCTCACTGGGGGCTGTGGTGGCCATCTGCCATAACCAGTCCACACTTAAGACACTGGTGTTCAAGGGAGAGAAATGAAGCCAAGTCTGGTGAGCACATATATTCCCAGCACTTGGAAGGCTGAAGCAGAGGACCAAGAATTCACAACCAGCCTGGGCTACACAAGAACTCTGTGAAAGAATAGGGTAAAGAAGGTGTTATGTTGAAGGCTGTCACCAATAAGATCCCTATAGGGGCACAAAGGTCTAGGTAGCTCTGGGTCACATTCTGAACTAAATAATAAATATATATTTTAGAGTATCAGGGCTCTATCTAGTTCTCCTCTCCTTGTCTACTCTCTGGCTCTGCAAAGAACATTTTATAGAAGCATTTGGCCTATGAAGGAGAGTTGGACAAAAATCAAGAACAGTCACTCTCCTTGGCTAGACACCTTCTCCAACTCCAAACAGCTGAACTGCTATGGCCCTCTTAACTCCAAAGAGCCCTGTCTCCATGGCTATCTCATTAAAAGATCACTATGTCAAGTCTGATCACGTACTGGGGTACTGACTTTCATCATGGACATGATGGTCTAGGAGCCTCTATCTAGCAAGGGCACACAGTCCATTCCTTGTATACTCTGGATTTCCCTTGCTTAAGAAAGGAAATAACTAATGCAAAAGAGGTATGGCTGCTACCCCTGAGAGAATGTGAAAGGAAGAGATGCCTGGTGACCTCCTAAGGTACTGGCAACATCCTTGTCCTTACTCAGACTTGTGGGCATGTGGGTATTTTTCTTTAGTTGTAGAGTTATACTTCAAGTAATCTTCTGTTTGTTTATATATTTTTGAAATTTTAAAAACTTCCTCCCAACTGGACATAGTGGCATAACTTGTGATTCCAGTGCTGGGAAGACTGAGACAGGAGGTCTATGAATCCAGGGCCATTCTGGGCTACAAAATAGCATACACTAGGATCGTACAGCAAAGCCCTCTCCAAAAGAGACTATCAAGATGGTATAGTTAAAGCTCTGACTCAATGGAATCCACAAGTAGACACACCTCAACATCATCACCTCATCCTCTCCATTTAAAAATACTGTGTTCAATTAAAGGTGGTCTTAAATGGTAGAAATCCTCTAAAGCTCTGATGAAGCAAGAATCCCCAATTTATCAGTTTTTTTTTCCACTGACAGTGTATGCTTCCCTAGGACAAGTTGAGAACAGAAAAAAAAATTCCATTACGTTTCCTAATGATGTTTCCCTTTTCTAGACTTTAATTGCCTCCTAAGCAAATGGGGACAGGCTCTGACTAACATATACTGTCTAGAAAGAGTTCTCATTAGGGTCCCCTTCCATCAAGAGGAGGGGAATGATAGAGAGGAGAGAGCACAGGAGAAAAAGAAAGTGGATACAAAGGACCTCCATGATTAGCAGAAAAGTAACCCCATGAGACCAGAAGCCCCTCTCTCTATGGAACCTGCATTCTTCCACTTCTGGCCACCATGGAATACTTCACCAGCGTCCAGGACTCTAACTGTGACCTCATCCCCTCCAACAGGGTGCCACCAGCAATACCATCCAGATAAAGGACAAAGACAAGATCTTTAAGACAAGCGAGGGCTGGGCGGTGGTGGCGCATGCCTTTAATCCCAGCACTCGGGAGGCAGAGGCAGGTGGATCTCTGTGAGTTCGAAGCCAGGCTGGACTAACAGCCTCCAAAACAATACAGAGAAATCCTGTCTCATAAAACCAAAAAAAAAAAAAAAGACAAGCGAAAAAAATCTTAGTCCTATGTATTGGAGAGGCTGGAAACATTGTACGGTTTGCAGATTATACCCTGGAAACTGTGCAGCTTCAGAAGATACAGATGGATATGATTGTCCACCGCAGCAGATGATTCACACGTTGAAACCTGGCTAGCTGCCTTTGAAGTTGGACCTTGTATCATGTGAACCTTTTCCCAGCTGGCAGAAAGGGCCAGCACTTGCTTTACTCCATGGACTACGTGACAGCCTTCCTGACTTTCAGTATCCCTGACCAACACTACACACCAGCGATCTCACATGAGGGCAGGGGACCCTTAAGGAATGTCTAGAGGAGTCCAGAAGTGCTTCATCACTTCCGTCACTAACAAAAATGGCATCTACAGCCGGGAGAACAGTTCCTTCTCTATGCATGGTGTCCTGTACCCCACACACACACTTGTTGCCAGGGAATTTTGTTTTTTTGAAGTACTCTTTCATTTTTTTCTACTCCTTTGGTGAGCAGTCTTGATAGGCAGTTAATTCCAAACAAAGCTGAATATGCATAAACTAGAAAAAAAAGTAGCTAGCTCCATGTGGAAAATTCATTGTGATATTTCCTGATTGAGCCAAGCAAAACTTATTGGCAAAAGAAGAGGTGTGTTATCAAGGATAATCCTTGACAAGTTTGAAAATGAATAAACCAGACTTTAAATGAAGTATAATTTAGGCAGAACAGTGATAGTGGAGGCCTTCTTGTCCAGCACTGAATCTTGGTGGGCCTGTCCCCTGGGAAAGGAACATATGCCCAAGAAGTTCTAACCTTGTCTACACCCATCTACTCTGGCTCTGGGTAGGTCAGGCAAGCCCCCTGATACTCAGTTTGCCCCACTGTGAAACTTGTGGACAGAATAAATAACGGTGACACTCCCTAAAGGTCAGCAGAGTGCATTACATGCATTTTGATTTGTGAGGAAGTGGCAGAGTAGAACACAGACCTAGCCAGGGTATAATTTCTGCAGGTAAGGGAATTGAAGAGACATAATTTCAAATTAAGTTACTTTTACACACAGTTTCAGTTCTGAAAGCTTTATGTTATGCTTTAAAACAGTTAAGCATATCCAGTGACGTTTAACCAAAAAACTTCTAAAGCCAAGAAAAATAATTTAAGTTAAACCTATGCCCACTTCTATTATGATTCCAATTTTTTAAAGTAACTCATAAACGTATATGACTCACACATCTGAATACAATGAGGCACTCCTTTATCATTTCATCTTCTGCTGCCAGTAATCCCACCTTTCGAAGTGCCAAAGCTCTTAATAAGTACAGCTCGTTTCTGGCTACACTCCAGAAACCAGCACAGGACTGCTGCAGCAAGGAAAGCAGTCTAAAAAGGGATTCCTGGGCTTTAGACTATAAGGTCCCAAGTCAAAAATGCATCTCCTTTACAGCTCCATAAGCAGTGACTTCAGACACCTGAAATGCATTAGCTACCCCTCCAGCTATGTGGCCCTCTGATATCTGTGAAGTGCTTTCACATCTCTTAACTAAGTTGATCCCCAGCAACCTGTTATAGTGCTTAGGTAGATAGGACAAGGGAAGAAACAGGGGTTCCAATTTTAAATGACTTGTCCAGAGTTAAGCAGCAGGCAAATGCTGAGAAGTGTCCATTTCTGACCAAACTGGTTTGTGATCTGAAAATAAGAGTTAGAGGTAGGGGTACAGCTCAGGGGCAGAGTGGTTAAAACCTAAACTTGTGGCATTTTGTTGTTGTTATTTTACTAAGAGTTCAACCTTTCAAAAGCACAGTGACTTCCCTGTCCCATTCTTGTCTCCTTTTACCCTGGGCTGGTGGACATACAACTTTCTAAGAAAGCATCAGCTAAAACACGCTGATACAGTACAGTAGGGTGGCTCACCACTACAATCCCAGCACTTGGCAGACTGAGGTGGGAGAATGACAAGGTTCAAGTCAGCAGGACTACATTGTAAATTCAAAATTCAAAGCTAGTCTAGCCTTAACAGTAAGACCCTGCCTCAAAAACAAAAACAAAAAAAAATTTAAATCAAGGGCTTAATGGGTAAAGTGATTACTGTACAAGTATGCGGGGACCTGTGTTAAGATCTCTATCACCCATATTAAAAAGTCAGGTTTGGCCAGGCGTTGGTGGCGCACGCCTTTAATCCCAGCACTCAGGAGGCAGAGGCAGGCGGATCGCTGTGAGTTTGTGGCCAGCCTGGTCTACAGAGCGAGTTCCAGGATAGCCTCCAAAAATGGTAAGTTCTAGACTCCGTGAGAGACCGTTTCTCAAAAAGTAAGGTGGAGAAGTAACTCAATAAGACAGCCTGGTATTAATGTCTCACTTCCACATGTGCATACCCTCTTCCCACACACAGACACCAAAGAAAAGAGAAGGGAGGAAGCAGAGGAACGTGGAAAAAGAGCAGAGCAAACTGGGGGCAGGGAAGAATCAAGCCCACACATAAAACGCCACCACTCTCTTGCTCCCATTGCACAAAAGTCTAGGGAGTAAACCCTGTCTGTTTCCAAAAGGAAGAATGACAGTCACAACTGGAACAAGGTGTAATGACAGATTTGTGCCCAAATCCAATGCAGCCCCTTCCTGTCACCTTTCTCCACCTCAGCAGTAAGAACTGAAGCCTAGGGAGAGAGGTGATCCAGACAGAAAGACTAGGGTGTGCAGAGGTGCCAGACAGGAGGAGAGACAGACAGCCTACTCATGAGTACTTGACACCAACTGTACCCTCTTCCATGCCTAAGAAGACAATGCTTGATATCTGCCTTCAAACAGAAATCACTGGCTCCAGCCTAAGGAGTCAGTGCAGCCAAGAAGATCAAGTAATTAGATTGCACAGGCAGCAGAGAGCAGAACAGCCTCAGCCTTCTCTCCAGAGGTTAACCCTGAGACATTCCAGACCTTCCAAGAAACACAGCTGGCTGCAGCCCCTTCAGATAAAAATTCCCTAAGCATCAAAAGGTAGTGTTAGGTTCCTCATTTGGTTGGTTCTAAGAAAACACAATATAAAAACAAACCTTGCTATGCAATATTCTCCCTGCTTAGCTACTCAGATCCACTAAAGAGACTGTTCCTCTACTGCGGT